TACATTGCGTTTGGTTGTGAAAGGACCTAAAGTATGAGCAATAGTAATAGTGATTCTTTCTTTCCTTAGCAGAAACCACTAAATATCAATATGATGGTTATGAATTGCTGAATCCTTAAAGCTCTGTATGAATTTGTATTTGAAACTGTCCGGTGTTTATTAATCCTACAGGCAGCTGAGCTCATCTATGAAATGCACCTTTCTGAAATATGTGCTGCTCTCTATTTATCTCTACAGAGACTCTATGAAGTTTCCTTCATTGGCTAATAGCCATTTTGTGTCCCAAGTCGACTGACTTACCGGCTGTTTTAGTAAATGGAGGCAAAAGGGAAAATGTGTTTTGAAATACCTTACTCTAGTTGTTGTCACTGGTGACCCTGTACACGTGGGCAGGTCATGGCCCACTGGCCAATTTCAAAAACTCAACTTTTTCAAAGACTCAATTAAAGCTCACATAGTCTGCATAGTTGCTTATAGTACTAATTGTAATGCATTTATGACAGACAGTTTTGACCCAATATATAAAAAGTCTCATTCTATAGACATGTTTTTGCTGAAAACTACCAGGTATTTGTGATGGTATTCTCACCCACTCTGTGTCTCAAAGACAGCAGCTAAAAGTTATCTCTGATTCTTATTGTTGATGGCATCTCACACCTCAGTCTGCAAGGAATGTGTTTCTAACTAATAATTTATTTCAGAGTCTTACTAATAAAATTAAGTGTTGAGTGTGAGCTTGTGATTTGAATAAATTCTGTTGTGCTGAGATGCAGAGGTTTAGATGATGATCAGTGTCATTCACTATTTGGCCTGACTGGAAAGAGTTCAGATTTCATATCCAGTCCATTTCACAACCAGTTGTCTAACTTTTCTCCCCTGAGCCTCTGACACTCAAGCCGAGGGTGTGATCAGATCATAGTGGTCTGGGATGGATTGGACATAGGGAGCTTTTGCTAAAGCTGTCAAAAAATATTTATTTATAATCTTTTTTTATATTGGCTTGTCTGTCTTTCTATCTGATAGACTGTGCAATGAACAACAAATTCCAGGCCCCTCTCTGACTGCAAAAGTGGAGAAAGGATTTGATTTGGTCATTTTGATTGGATCTTGGTGGACAAGCACAGTGGCTTTCAAACTTTTTTAAGAGCAACCTTTTTAAATTGACGCAACCCATATGTGACCCTGGACCACAAAACCAGTCTTAAGTCGCTGGGGTATATTTGTAGCAATAGCCAAAAATACATTGTATGGGTTAAAATTATAGATTTTTCTTTTATGCCAAAAATCATTAAGACATTAAGTAAAGATCATGTTCCATGAAGATATTTTGTAAATTTCCTACCGTAAATAAATAAAAACTTCATTTTTGATTAGTAATATGCATTGCCTAGACCTTCATTTGGACAACTTTAAAGGTGATTTTCTCA